GTCATTCTACCAGGGCTAAGAATAGACTCGCCAAAAAGATAGTCTATTTTGCAAATAGACTATTTGCAAAATTTTCTTCTTTAGTTACTATTCATTTTTAAGATCAGAATATAAAGTAATTTTCAGGGCAGAAGTCATGCAAGTGATCTGCTCAACAGCCAAATAATTGTTTTTCCACTTGATGTAACATTCATAACTCACCAAATTTTGAAAACAGTGGTGATCTAATTTTCTATCCTAGCTCATTCTTACCTCAATATTATTATAGTATTAACACAAATAGTTCCTAAAACATAAACAGTAACAAATAATAACATTAAAAGCAATTAACCTTTTTAAAAAATGTCATTACCCTAAAAATACCATTTGCTTTATGTCAGTTATTTTCAGTTCTTCAAAACAGGAAAACTTAATTAGTGAGGCTGTGATGCAAAGAATGCAAACTGAGTCCCAGATTTATGTTGGTAAATAAGGTTTTATGAAGAGTCTTGATGTCATTATGGAGTATCTTAATTGCTCAGGTATGTTTGCTCACTCCTGTGTGAAAGAATCTGTCCTGTGTTTCTACTTAGCAATATTTTTGAGTTTCAGCATTAAAATTTAAAATATTCTAAAATACGGTTTCTATTTAATCTGTCAATATTGTTGGTCCACTCTGTAAGTAAAAGAAGGAAGAAAGGTCTAATGCATGTACATTTGGTAATATCCCTGGGGAGTCCATTGTGTAGGTGTGGTACTAATGGGAAAAGAGGCTCTCCAGAGAGCGATGTGCAGAGAGGAACAAAGAGAAAGCTTTTTGCCGGGCTGAGGGTTTTGCTGCTGGCTGCTTGGCTGCACAGTAGCATTGTTCAGAGGAAGTGCACCTGCTCTAACATTTTCTTCAGCTGGAAGCAGACAGGTTTGTTGAATGCTCTAATTGCTGGTAGGCATGAAAGGATTGCCTAGAAGATTGCTTCCTAGGCTGTCCTTTGATGTTTCATATGATTTGGAAGTGAAGATTTCTTTTCCTTTATCCATCTTACTAATAGGTGAGAATAAAAAATCTCCTTTCAGCTTTCATTCGAGAAGGTATCATGGCACATTCAGTGTGATTAGCTGTATCATGGGCCAAAAGACTCCTTTTATCTATTGAAAGGTGTGTAAAACACAAGCATAGTCATCACAGTCCACATTCATAAAGCACTATTAGCTGCGTGTTCAGTTCATTGCAAGGGTCTCTGGGCAGGAGAAATACTCTGCTGTGAACACTAGGTTTGTCAAGTGCTGTAAATCCATGGCTAGAAATTTTGGATACAATCCTTTTAATATGTATGGTAAATCTTGGACCACAGTTAGAAAATGTTCTTTGTTTAATTCTAGTTATGTTAGTTTATAAACACAATAATTCTAATACAAAATGCAAGTTTTGCCTTATTTTTTAGCAGAATTTGAATAGCAGAGAACTGCAGTGAGGCTTGATAGTTTGAATGTCCTCCTTTTACAGATAAATACAAGGCATGACTAATGCCCTATAAAGTCTTGTACTAAATTCAGATTATAACTAAAGCTACAAACAGTATGGTATGATATATTTTGTTAGCAGAAATATGCAAATTAATAGAATAACCAAAAAAACTCTGTAACTGGCTAAATTTTAAGGTTTTATTTAATTCTCTTACTAGGAAATACCTAGCTGAAAAATTATAGTGCATTATTTTCACCCACGTAAACTGTCACTGACAGCTTTCTCTTGAGAGGGTAAGCTATTGCCAGCATACTTGGAAGCACCAGAATACTTGATTACAGGTTGCTTGTCCAGGTAAAACAACCTTCCTCAACTGGATTTGGTTTAAGTCTCCTCTATGATACAGATTTTGTATTCAGATCCATCACTTGCAAAGTTCAGGAGTGCATGAATGTATGCCTTTTCAACCAGAGCCTATTTCACTTTCCAATCAAGAGTTGAGAATTTATGCATAAGAAACCTATGTCTGTTATATATGGCTCTGAAATATAGTGTCTGAAATTTTTAAAGATACATACTGGTTTAGGCTTTATTTAGGAAATTAAATTGTTGTTCTTTAATCTGTTGTAAAATTTGCGAGAAAACCTTCAAGGTATGTTCTGAAACTTTGAGATATGTATGTTATTTTTGTATTATGATTTACTGAATTATTAATTCAATTTCCTTTTTATAAAATTGCATATTTTTTTCCAAACTATCTGTTTTGTAATTCAATTTTTTGAGTGCTGAAACATGTCAGTCTTGATCTTTATAGCCAGCAAACTGGTTACGGTGCCAGTGGTCAAGGCCATTAGACTTCTAATGGAGTTTTGTCATGGTCACTGTGAATTACACCAGCTTCCCAAATTTCTCTTCTAAGCACACAGTGTGTGTATTTTGTTTTGTGGTGTAAGCAAAGAGTATATTTATATGTCTACAGCTGTGGCCTCTAATTTTTATTTTGTGACATGATGAGGTATTTTAAAGAGTATGCCTAGAACTTTATTTACTTGGCCAAGAGGTCAGTCTGTTGCTTTTATCTGTGGAACCAAGTGTTTATCAGGTTTCTGTATGAATCACACAGCACATTAGGCACACCAGTGTTTAATTCTAGACATCTTTATAATAAAGTTTGGATGTGCTAAATTTTCCAAAAGTATTTTAAGTCCAAGAAATTTTTTCCCCACAAAATTTTCAAATTTGGTTTGCATATCTTTGTACATATAGCTCTGTGTGAGCATGTATCTACCTAAATGAAATTCATTAGTTCTGATGTTTTAGTTAACTAGGTAAACAGGAATATCGGGTGTTTGGAGGCAGGGATGCTAATACATATACCCTTAGGATATAAGCACTTCAAGAAAATAAAATCTAAGTGATTATATTATTCACGTCTCAATGGATGGGGAGAAGGTTGAGTGTTTGCTTCACCTCCTTATTCACCAAACAACACAAATGAGGCAGTTCTGAGCCTTGAGCTGGTACAGCCAAGGGAGTAAGCAAGTGGTTCTGTTGAAAGCTGATAGCAAAGGGATTGCAGATCACAGTCATGGATCATGGTGTTTTGTTCACTACTAGTCAACCCCATTGTTCACTCCCTAGTCAACCCTCTTAGTGTTGTGAGTGACTACCGCCTAAAAAATTCTTAGTGATGATCCATGCGATGAAATGCCTGCTTGTGAAAGTGGCCTTCTCAGCAACCATCTCCAAGTCACTGTCCTACGGGTTATTTGTAAGCCATCTGGAAAACATGGGATGACTCATTCATTTTCATGTGGCTATGGGTTTTGTGGCCATAGACAGAGAGAAACAATGTGTACTGGATCATATCCCTGCAGGCAATTTTTCAGACTTCACTTTGATAGGGACCAAGTCTTACTGGACTGTTTCCTTAGATTTATTCTGATTTAGTGTATTGTAAATAGTCATAGACTAACCACAAGTTTTGTGTTGGGTAGGCATGTCTTTTTTCTTCTTCATGGGTATTGGTGAAATCACTTAAATGTGTCACTGTCAGATGCGTACGATCTGGTTTTTGTATGTCATGTTCAGAACTGCAGCAGAAATTTCACTCTAAAAAAGGAGAAGGAAATTAAATGTGTGAGATTAGAATTATTTCATTTTGAGAGCTTGGTTTATTTAGACAAAACTCCAGGAAATTCAAAGCTTGTCCTGAGTTGTCATCCATCAATAAACTGTTGTGAAAGAATAAAGCTAGTAATCATAAAACTACAGAAGATGTGAGATAGAAGCAGAGTAAGAGTCTTAATGATCTAGAACCATAACTGTATTCTAAATGAAATGTATTTAATTTCCTGAGAAAAGTATTAACAGTGAGGAATAGGAGAAGAAAATATTTTGTAGGAAGTTTAGTTGACAGAGTATCTTTCAAAGATAAAATAGTTCAAATCCCCAAAAATTTGACTGTTCTCAAAAACTGAATGGTGTAAGCACATACTGTGTTCTACAGTGTCTCATATAAATCATGGGTTGGTGTTTGTAGAAATATATACAACGACTTTTTAAACGAGAACTTGTATAAGAACACTTTTTACTTCCTTGAAATCAGTGAAATACTTAAGTCTTTTTTTGACGCCATGGAGACTAGAAGCTAATATACTGATACACTGCAGTGTTAGTACATATGTGCAGCCAAGTGAATTGCAAGTTTAAAAGATGGTTTGCAAAGATATTATGGTTTTGTTAAGAAAGAAAGTATGTTTCATCCCTTATGAAAATCTGAAAGAAATAGACTAAGATCACATCTAATGAACTCAGTCACTTTGTATTTGAAAGTAAGAAAGATTCTGAATTGAATCGATATAGCCTTGAATTGAATTATATTGAATTGGATTATATTTTTCTGCTATGTCAGTTGATTTATGGTTAGGCAAGCTACAGGGGCTGATGCTATTGAATTCTAAGGAGCTCCTTCAAAACAAGGAGATATTTTCAGGAAAGTTTTTACTACCATCAGTAAAACAAATCTTAATAAGATTTTAATGTAGTATGCAGTATTTCATTTATAATGCTCTTCTGAATATATTCTTTGTTAAGCACAGCACTGTTTGATTCTATAATTAAAGCATATGGGTACAGTTCTAATTTACAGACCAGTGAAGAAACTTTAGGCTCAGTTAAGAAGCTTTAATTTCCATCTTGAAGTGTCACTTTGTAACAGCCTAGAGAAATTGCTACATTCTTGTGACTAGAGGTGCTGTGAAAGAGACTTGTGATCATGCTGCAGAAAAGTTTAGGATTCAAAGTAGGTTTTAATTTAATGAATCCATTCAGTTAACAAATTTAATTGTATCTATTTTACTCTCTTTGTGAGCTAGTCCAAACAAAATAGGAGAGGAGGTAATTATAGTAATTGAGAAAAAGAGGAAGTGTAATAAATATTCATAAAGTATGTAAAATTTGTTTTTATCATAATCTATTTTATCTAAGTCACCTTCCACACTGTTCTTGTCCTGATAGCCTATTTTTTTTTTTTTTTGTCTCACTTTCTACATAGGACTGACTCATCACGTCTGTAATCTCCTAACAGAAGCTGTGGCCCTGTACTTGGAGGCAGATGATAAAAGGAGCACCAAGACGGCAAATGTGCTGCTTCTGTCCTTACTTGACATTTTGCAATACATGCTGACATATACAGCAAACATTGTGCGCCAGACTTTGCAGGTATGGGAATTACTCATGGGGTCTTGACTATCTTAAACAATTTTTTAGATAACTTCCTATTATCATTAATAACAAGACTCCCACTATTCTGATTTTATGGAACTTTTAGTGTAGTGAAAAGTCAATTTGTCTTCCAAGTTACTGTTTGAACCACTACAAGTCATGGCATTGGTGGGACTTCCTCCTCCAACAAAGACATCTTCCTCCTTAAACATGGAGCATAAAATACAATTCAAAGAAATTTCACATAACCCTTTTAGTAACATCTGAATGAAAAGCATTTGTAATTTTTTAGACATTATGTAAATCTAGCAAATATTGCTTTTCTTTTTGGATGATCTGCCAAATTTTTAAGTTAGTCAAGTGGAAGTGACTTCTTGACTTCTGTATTTACACTGCAAACAACACGTACTCTTCATGTTAGGTTTTTTATGTTCTTGGTATTATTCACTGAAGAACAGATATTTGTCAGGTGAAATATATCTAACGGAAAGAGATTCAAAGGATTGCTGACAGGTTGTAATTCCTTGCGGGATATGGCTTCTTTAATCCCCAGTCCCTTCTCTGCAGGTTGTTTTTTGGTCCCAGAGCTGAGTTTGTGGGTTTTTTTTTTTTTTTTTTTTTTTTTTTTTTTTTTTTGTTTTGTTTTGGTTCTGTATTTTTTGGTTTGCATGGTTTTGTGGTTAGGGAGTAGGTTTTTTGGTTTTTTAGGGGGTGGCTTATTAAGTGGGCTTAATGTAAGAAGCTGGTCTTGAAAATTGAGCTTTTTTGTTTTTTTACATAGATTTACACAAGCAACTGTGTTATCAACCACATTTCACTGCGAGGTTTTTGGTTTGGTTTAGATATCTGATGATATAATACCTTGTCTTTTTTAATTCCTCTATTAGCAGGTTCTGTAATGATATTTCCATCTAAGTATCACTTCATAGATCAAGTTTTTTAGGCCAATTGATTATTGTCATGTTTTTGGCATCTCTCCGTGTAATCGTAGAGAGCTGAATTCAGTACTTATGCTCCATACAGCAGTGGTGCGGCAAATTATTCTGGAGGACACATGAGGAGAGAGGATCTTGCACATGGATTGGTAGTATTGAATTGATGGGTTTTATTTAGATTTAAAATTAAATCTATTCATTCAAAGCCAAATTCTGTTCTGGCTTTACTTGAATATAACAGTTGATTGATGCACTGAAACTCCAGCTTGTTTTGTTTATCTCTCATCACAGTAGTCTGCTTTGCTCTTAAAGTCTAATGAGTAACAAGGAGCAGCTGGAAGACTGAATTTTGAAGCACAGGTCTATTCTGTACCCATATATTAATTTTACAGTGGTGTTAGTTGTCTTGGCTTATGTGTCTTGACAGTACTCATCACAAGATCCTTGAGAGCTCTACATCAGTACACATACCGTATTGAATGGTGGCAATTAGTTATTGACTACATAGTATTCCACTATTCACGTGTCACTAAATGCATCACAAATATTATTCTTGGACTGTTTTTACAGAGATGTTTTGAGTAAGGTACCATTTAAATCAGAACATGTAAACCAGAATCAAATCTTGTATTATCCATTTCTGAGGCTTAAGTTGTCTTTTACAGATGATGGTACCTTCACTTGAATCCTTTTCATTTTACTATTTCATGTGTAAAGTGATAACCTTATCCAGCTGCATAGGCAATACGTATCACCACTTTTCCATTGCACTGAAGTACTTCATGATGGATGGTGCTGATAACTGTATCCAGGTTCAGGAGAAGAGTTTGCTCTTTGTCATCCAAGTACTTTCATATTAATTTGCGTGTCTGTTTTGGAGAAGTTTTGTCCTATGTCCCAGGTGATCCACATTAGCTGAAAAGAATTTGAAATTTTAATTTGGTATATGGACTCTATTTTGTGACTCTGGCACAGGTTGCCCAGAGAGGCTGTGGATGCTCCAGCTCTGGCAGTGTTCAAAGCTGGGTTAGATAAGACCAGGAGCAACCTGGTCTAGTGGGATGTGTGCCTTTCTGGGAGTGGGTCTGGGTGTGACTAGATGATCATTAAGGTCCTTTGGAACCCTTTAACTTTCTGTGATTATATGATTCTACAACTTAAAGTAGGTTTAAAAACGTATAGTGTGTATCCTTCATATACATATGTAATTTCTTTAGTGCTGTTGTTCATTCTCTTTCCGAAGACACTAATATATAAAAGTTAAAGAAAGTAGTCAAAGATTCCTAATGGAAGGTGTCTATCTTCTCATCCGTGTACTAAGGAGAAAAAGCTGTTTTAAATTTTGCTGAATGAAGGTGGCTTACTTCCCTTTCTTCATTAATATAAACATTCCATTTTTTGTCTTCTCTGCACTTTTTGTCCTTCTTGCCAGGTCATTGTGGTAAGTCTCAGAGATGGACATACCAATGTGACTTATTGCCTGGAGAAACAGCTTTTCAGTTCTCTTTTATTTAGAAATCCTTTCCAGAAGAAAGGCATTATCCTTTCAACTCATAAGTATCAACAGTTTGATACTTAGCACCTGTCCCAGGGAACTTGCTCCTCTATTCACTTAACCAAATGGAAACGTCCAAGTATTACACTTCGACAGTGATTTTTAGGATTGAGCTATAAATAAAACACAATACTAATTATTTTTAAATGTGCTCTTTAGACAAAATGCTTATTTTTCCTCTAGCAAATTGACTGTATAGGGTCATGGTCCAAAGCTTGTGCAAGGTAATGTTGTTAAATGAAAAATCCTGCAAGCCAACCTTTCAGGAACCCAAGGGTCATAAATAGCACTGCCTAGGATAGTAGTATATCTTGATGATGTGGGGATGACAGTAGTCAGAATTACAAGTGGTAACTGATCTTCTTACTTGAAAACTTTATTATTCCTATTTCAGAAATAATTTAAATTCTAATGTATTGTGAATATTTCAGGATACGGAGTAAAGCAGGCAGGCAAAATTGGACAATATTGCTGAGAATCCTAAATTTTCAGTCACCTTGATTATCTTCGTTTGACGTGTCTTTTGCACGTATGTTTTATTGCATTTTGCTGAAGGAGTGTTATGCAGGTCAGTATATTCAGCCTGTACAGAGTGGCACAACAGCATGGGTCCCTTTGCTTTGTGCTTATTGTCACAGAGGAAGCATCACTGCTCATTGGGAGCCCAGGAATACTTAACTAGAAAAGATGCACAAGTTTCCTTCAAACTTCATTCACATTTTGACCACTTAATAGACCTAATTTGTTCTTCATAACAGACCAATCACCAGGGTTGCTTTTGATTTCTTTTCTCTCTTCTTAAGGCACAGAAATCTGGGGCAGGAGGGGACACACAGGCTGCCGAAGACCTCCTTCTTATCAATAAACCCCTGACGGACCTGACTAGCCAGCTTATTCAACTGGTGAGAGTTTGCTTGTTTGTAACCTTAGGGAATGTTGCTGAAGTTGGAATTATGCAGTTGAATTGAACATATTAGAGCTCTCTTTACTAGTTTTTAATTGTTTACAAGCTCCCACCTAGTACTCTAGCACTTTGTAAGAAGTTACAGGACACAGTGACTTGCAGGTTAGCAGTGATGTCAGAGTAAGTCTGTTTGTCCAGAGAATAGAAGTAGGATGAGGGGCAGACGGCAGGTTCTCAGTTTGGATACATATATATAGCCATCATTTGTGCTTCAAAATGGACTAGTCACCACTGCATAGAGAAAGGATGGCATTCAAAATTTTAGTCTAATAGTACTGCTTCCTTTAGAGAAGTCAGTAAATGCAAAATTGGTTTGTAGCAAATGATGCATTTTAATATTATTTTCTAGGGTTTGAGCCTTCTGAGTTTTCTCAAGAGTTTTATTTCAACATGATCATGAAGGATTTATGAGTGGGAGTGGTCCCTGTGATCTGTAAACATCTTGAAGTGTGTCTGTTTAAAGGCAGTCCTTTCCACAGTTTACTAGATGTACAGCACTGCATTGAAATCTCCACAGAGGGCTGCATTGTGGCCCTAATGTATCCCATCAACTCAGTCTCTGTCATACAGAGATCTATATTTACTCTGTGTGTAATGGTTTGTGGCAGAGGAATGCTTCTTGAGATGGACAGTGCTTTTAGAGGCTGCATCAGCCTGTAAGTCAACATAAAGCCATTAAAATGGTATGTGAGAATTTCAGTGTATCACGGTATCCTTTCCAGGATATTTGATTTTGAAGTGTTTCAGATTCACTGTGTTCTCTTCCAGACCCTTTTTTTTTTTCATTTAAATAGATGATTTCAGGTTTTTTGTGATATCAGTACTGCAATCCTTCTACTATCTTTAGCACTGTCTGTCATCTATTTTAGGGAAGTGTGTGATTCCTTTTTTATTAATTTTTGGCATTATACTTGGTGCTAAGTCCTCCTTTGATGGATTTATTTAAACCAGCTATTGACAATGGCTTTTTGGAAGTGTTCTCTGAATGACCTAAAACAAAGTGACTGAATTTCAACTATTTAATGTTTCATCTTTATAAATTCTTTTAATTTATTTTATATTGATTTTTTAAAAACTGCTATATATGATAAATAGTATGACATGAAGATATGCAAATGTTCATTTAAAATGAAACTAGTCATAAGTTTAAATTATATTAAATTTTTAAAGAACAGAAGATTAGAGGCCAAGCTTTACTCAGCCTATACCACCTGGAAGTCTTTTATAAGATTTTTAATTAAAGGCTAGGATAATTGCAGAGTTAGCATGTACTGATTAGATTGTGACTTGTCCTTGTATTTCAGAAGCATGGCTGTAAATAACCAGTAGGTTTTGCTTTGTTCTGTACTTCTGCAGATTCTGTTTCAAATGCTTATTCTAAATCTTCTGATTTTAACATACAGGTAAAAGATAATCACCACCACTGCCACTTCTTTAGATAGATAGATAGATAGACAGACACACACACCCTTACGTACATATTGTCTTGTTTTGTTTTGGTTTCAGTTTTGTGAAGATTCTGTGAGTGAGGGATTTTTCTGTTGTTTGGATCTGTGAAAGTTATTTCAGCTAGGTTTGTTAAATTTGATTTTTCACATTTTCTTTCCCACTGCTCTATTAAACATTTCCTGTTAAGCTTGGAAGAGTTTGAGCAATGGAATAATCATTTTAGCATTTAGGAATCACTTGTTTAAAATGGTTTGTACTCTAATCTCTTTAAATAGAAATAGATTATTTGTGAAGTCTAGAGCATGTCTCAAGATGTGTGTGCTCCCTACTCCTCAGGCCTACCTAAACTGAAATTCTGTGAAGCTGCCAGTGGTTGTTCTCTGTATTCATTGAGCTGTGTGGGTACATAACCCCTTATTGCTGTTTTGAGGCATCCAGTTCTTTGTGAACTTGATTTTCTGGAGATAATGGAGGACTTACATTTTGAACTAACAATTGCTTTAAAATATTGAGTTAAAATTTTCTTTGCTTTGCTATTTCTGCCTATCTTGGCATATTTATAGTTTCTTATAGTCACTTACATAGTTTCCTAGTCACATTGTTTTCTAGTTCCTAGTTTCCTACACACATTGAATAATTGTTTTCCCTCATTAAAATGTGTATCCCTCAAGTAGATTATTATTTCATGTCTCATTTACTTGTCTTTTTATTTTGCTCAATTCTACATGTTTTACTCTCTCAATAATCCCTCAAAAAATCAATGTGAGTTAAACTTCGAAATGTCAAAAACTTAGAATCAATTTTTCCCTTCTGTGTTTGTTATTTAGTCTGTCATTGAAGGCATAGCAAAGCAAGATTTGGAAACCTAGATTGCTTTTAAATGAAACTTCAGCGATTTAACAATGCAAAAGGATAAATTATTACAAACTCTGTCATGCAGGAAACACTGCAAATATGGAGAATTCAGTATTTAATCCCAAGATCATTATGACCATAGTCGATCAATAAGAGGAAAAAAAATTGAGCATTTAGCCTTCTCCTTGACAGTTTTGTGTTTAAAAGTTAATTACACTTAGCTTTGTTGGGTAATGTTTCTTTGTTTAATGTAAATTTCATTTGAATATTATTCTGAAACCTGCAGCAATTGAAGAACATACAAAGCACCTTCTAATTTTTTATGTACCCATTATACTGAAAAAAAATTACTTTTGAAATCACTTCAGTGTGGATTTTCACAAAGTTTCAGAAACCTATAAAAAGGAATTTTGTTTTCTGTAGGTCCTAGATTCAGTTCCTAGGTGTAGATCTTCCAGTCATTTCTGGAGCCTACTAGACTGCTGGGAGAGAACTTTTCTTGACTTCTGGTGTGAGGCTTCCTCATTATAATATTACCAGGAAAATTTGCACTTGATTACCATGCTCTGTATGTTACCGTTGAACATCCAGTTAGTCATGTCCAAATGTGAAGAGGATAAATATGAAGCATCAGTGTACGTGGATGAATGAGATGGTCTTTTCTGTGCATTTTTTTTCTCTGTATTACACTGACACTAAGGCTGTGCCCAGACTTCATTTTCAGAGTGCATGAAGTTATTTGCTAATGACTAATGAAAATAACTGCAGAATAATGATTACTGTAGAATTTTATTTCACATGTCTTTCTCTAGGAATACAGACTGTTCTGTGGTCAGAGTAGAGAGACATATGTTCATATCCTATATTTGAAGTATTCTCTTGTACAGAGCTATCCTAAAAACCAAAAATCTCCTAACAAACACACCAGAAGAAAGAAGAAAATGTTGTTATATGCACAGACTTTCAGAACGGGGATTTACTTTCTCAACAATTAGCCTAGGTTAAAATGAAGTGAATATACATATGTATTTCCCTTAGGCAGGAGAATGTTGCTAAGTAAAAATATAATTTTTTTTAATTTAAAACTGTGCATCTTTACTAATAAGAATAGCACTAATAAGAATAGCATAGTAAAGCTAGCAGATTAGTAGTGTTTTGCTTTTACATTTTGTAAAATGTTTGCAAAATCATCTTCCCTATAGATCCCCACAGTTCTTCCTTTAGCATGTTCTGTAATCACATTAGTGATCTAATGAATATCTATCTCTTATCGTAATAAACTCTCTATGTGTATAACCTCATTAATGCACCAAAATAGTGTCCCCTCTGGGTAATCCAGGCAGTTTCATTGTAGCTCTAAAATTAGATGCTGTAACAATTCCAGCGGTGTGAAAACTGCCACTTCAGCTCAAATGATCACACGTTTCTTGCAGCGGTTTGCAATTCATGAACACACTTCAACTCAGTTTAAAATGATGAAATTTTTGAGAACAGACTGCAGAAATATAGATGTGCAACAAGAAGAAACTTCCTGCTTTTCACTACATTAACCCTAAAATGCACAGAGCAGGTTCCATCTAGAAAGGAAAAGAAAACAGAATTTTGTGTTATAAGCTTCTTTACAGGAAGTTATCACATGGCCATAAAAATTAAGCAAAGAGTAATACACTGTTTTCATTGCACAGAAGTCTTGTCATGAGGTATTATTTTTTAAAAAGTGAAAAATAAATCTACAGTTTTCAGTTAGAGAATGGCAGAATTTATGACCTTAGCTCTTCAGTAATTTATTTTAAGGTGCTGGATTGTCTTCAAGCTATGCACTAGCCAAGAATATTAACAGCTGCAAGAGAAGTACTGCTAACTTTTCTACCTTGCTGAAGGGCTGAATCCATAATCCCCTCTAAGACTGAGAAAGGAAAAGGAAACTTCATGTAATTATGAAATATTAAGGGGCAGATATCTTTCAAAGTGTTAGTTTTTTCATGGGTTTCTACTCTCCTGAGAGAACAGAAACTATTAATGCATTTCAAGCAAATGTGCTTCATACCAAATTGAATTTTTCTGATTAGAAAAATAATCAGAATGCTGTTCCATCTAATTAGGAGATGAACCATCCATCTATATTCATTGTTGAACAACATGATTATGTTTTTCCTGTTCTTATTAAACGTGAGGTATTTACTTGAAAGCTGAATTTTCATTCTTGATTTTCTGTATTTACAGATATTTATTACATTTTCAACCATTGGTTTTGTTTTATAATATTCTTCAGATCCCCTACTCTTTATAACCAGTACTAACACTGACTGGCAGCCAGTGCTAAATTTCAGGTTACCAGCCTACAAATTTTGACATCTAAATCACTACTTGTCAGAAGTGAAATGGTGAAATGGTGAGAGTTACAGAGAAAAATGCTGATGTGGACATACTTAAATAGGGACACTGCTGAGAGCCCCTCTTCTACCTTAATTATTGATGACTTAGACTGTAGGCCAATGATTCTCACTCCCTCCAGAGTAAATATGGCCTTTCCTATCCCAAGCTTGTTTTTCTCTTCATACAAGACCAGTCCTGCTATTGTTTTGCTCCGAGTTTTCCCAGGGTAACAGCAGCTTGCTCCTCAAAGTCTAGTTAACACCTAAGCTCAAAGGGACTCTGGGAAAGCAGAGGAGCAGAAGAGCCTGAAGTGCAACAGGGAGTGAAAGACTTGTTTTGTATTGGTGATTGAGTAATGTGATGTCATAGCTGGCAGGTGTTGGGAACTGTGGAGTGATACTTGGAACATGGTCACTGAAAGCCTCTGAAGGGCAAGACTATATGATGCCAAGACAGATTGGATGGGAAGTTTCTTTTCATTGGGTTGAAAGGGTTTTCCTTTCTCTTGTTGGGAGACAAAGAATAACAACAAGGATGAAAGATTGGGCATGCCAGAAGGAGAGAATCAAGGCCCAAGCAAGGCCATTGGTCCAAGCACAGCTCTTCCTCCTAGGGCAAAGTGTTCCACTGCCTCACTAACTGAGTGTTCCTGCTGCAGTAATAACACTTGGGAATAACGTTGGGAATAACACTAAGCAGCTGGACTTGCTTGTTTGCTTCCTTGACAGTGTGTTGGGAATAACCGCTGAGGTTTGTGGTGCTTTATGGATTTCTTCACATATGTTTGTTGTAGGAGCAGTCCTCTATGGAGACTGACAGCTTTCCACTCCTCTGATATATAGTGAATATCTTGGAAGAAACCCTTGGAATCAGTCTCACTTCCAAGTATAGCTGTTGTGATACTGACTAAACATGGGATTTTTGTGCCTGTGGAGCCCAGGGAATTAGCCTCTACTGCAGTACCCGGGCAAGGATGTACCAATGACCAAAATTTTCACTGATTTTTCATTTTTTACCTTTGTTTAGCCAACAAACATTTGAAAATTGAATATAATCCTTGTACTGTGATTTTCTTCAGGGGGTCATTGACATCGCTGCCTACACTGATCTAGTAACAAATTAGCTGGGAATGCTGCTTTTAGAAGGTGTGAGAGACACATTAAAAAAAAATAGTAGTTGTCCTTCCTTTGTCTAATGGCATTTTATTTCAATGAAGGAAATAAAAGTTGTCTCAAAACCCCAAGCAAAATCAGCAGATTTTCTTTTCAGTTTGTTAAGGATTAAAGATATAAATGGAATTATAAAGCTTGTTACTATTTATAGCTTTTCCTGCTCTTTGGGTTAGCTAATTGTGCTGATGATGTTATTAGAGAAGTCTGGATGATGGAAAGGAAATAATCAAATAAGTGGCATTTAGATTGGAATGAAGAAAAAACATATAGCAAAACTGAGGAAGAAATAGCTGTTGTGGTCCTGTCACTTGCATAGTATTAGGTCAAATACAATGTGATATGTCTTGGGGCTATATATTCAGAGATTTCATCTCAGTTCAGTCTGTTTTAAACAGCAACTCTATGAAGCTAGTAGAAAACAGGATTGTATTTGCATGCAGATCCCTTGGGAATTGCTCCTTGAATATTTGAGAGATATATGTCTGATGATATGTTCAGATTGCTTTAAAGTAACTGTGTGGGTTTTCCTCAACATGAAAAAATTTAGGAATTTCATACTGCAGATTAAATAAGTAATAATTATTGAAATTATTTAGCATATTACATAAGTGTTTGGACAAATTGGGGTTTTTTTCCCCCTTTTACTTTCTGTAAAGATAGTCTGTTTTACTGTACTTTTATCTGGCTTATTTGGTGTAAATAATACTTTTGGAATGAAAAAAATGAATGGGCATGATGAGGTGTTTGGTTAAGACTATCACTCACTGTTCAGGTCATAGATTTTAAGGTGAGAAAAAACTATTACAATGATTTTGTTGAGGGATATATATAGACAGGACTTTCCTAAATTAATTCCTCATTAGAGTAAATGGTTTTGGTATTTTTTTAGAAAAAAATATTCTTGTGATATTTGAATTGTCTTTGATGGAGAGTCTGTCTCAGTTCTAAGGAAGTTGTTTCAGCAGTTAATTGTTCTTATTAAAGAGAAAAAAGGAAATCAAAGTACTATCTTTCTTCTAATCTGAATTGCTTTGTCTAAAGTTTTGAGCTCTCATCAGTCCTTTTTCAGGTAAAGGAATTAACCTAACCTCAGCCTGCATTTTCCCACATATGATTGAGAGGATATGATCAAATCCACTTTAACCCTCTCTCTGATATGCTATAGACACTAAATTCCTTCAGTCCTTGGCTATTATGTTTTCCAATCTGTCATCCTCTTGCCTGTTCCCAAGAAACCTCTATGATTTTTTTTTCACTAGTGTTTGTGAACTCTGTGCTGACACTAGGCATTGCATTCCTGTTGTCATTTCAAAATGTCATTGTCAGTGCCAAATACAGGCCTAATATGATATCTCTACTTGTTATTTCCAGATTGTACTTTCAGGAAATATGTAAATAATTTTGATTATGGTGTTATATTATCAGAAGCTCATTTAAAGATGATCTCTAGTCATGTCCCTAAATATTTTTTGTAATTTTGCTTCCCAGGAAATAATTTTCCATCCTATTGCTAGAGCCTGCTGCAGTATCTGATCTTCAAAGGGGTGTAGAAAAGTTAGAATTCAGGAAAATATTTCAAATCTTCAAAAAGTACCTCCTAATGTGACTACTTAAAATAACTAGATAGCTGGTGCTCTATCTCAAGAAGCTTGATTTAGTAATAATTAAATGAAATTTTATAGTGTGCATGATATAGAAGATTAGACATCATGGCTGTAATGATACTTTTTCCTATTACTGCTTCTATTTAAAGTAGAATAAAATAACCTAGTTGGAAGCAACATTTCTGGTGCTGTTATGATGTAGCTCTAGATAGACCACTTGACAGAATCAGAGTGCAGATATTGTTATACTGCTGCTTAAGAGTAGATGTATTTTAATTATGTTTTCATCACTTCATTAAGCTTATTTTAGTGGAATTCTGAGTCAATCAACTAGAAATTATTCTTTCCTGTCACAATGCAAATATTTATACTCTTCCAAATCCCCAGTGAAACGCAACTTTTCTGAAATTGGAATTTGATTTTTGTTTATTCATTTTTCATTCATTTTTAGCTTCCCAGTGACGATACTGAAATATTTTTGAGTGCCTCACAGAGCTTATTATTGCTGGTTCAGCTGTATGGAGGGAGTAATCAGGAGAGTATGTCTCCAGAAAACATGGACAGCTTTGCTGAAGTACTGAAGTCCAAAGAAGATCCACGAGAACTTAAGCTTTTGTTGAAAATTGTTAAGAGACTGGTGAGTTAATATCTAACCTTTTCCAAAGTTTGTGTGTTTCTTTTATATAATTTGATAGTTTTATGGGTTGGTTTTTTCCCTCTCAAGGGAAAAAATATTTTAAAATAATTTTAAACCAAAATATGCTAAGTCGAATATCATGTCTTTAAATTCCATGTGTCTGGAGAAGACAGCTTCCTACACTTAAAACCTCTTATGAAAATGATGCAGGAATTCTCCTATTTCAGTTAGCCATTCAGCACTTTAAATAACTCATGCTATTTTTACACTTGTTTAGTAATTCAGCTCTATAAGCTATTGAAACCATTTTCTGAATGCCTTCTGAAAGAACTAACCTTGTAACATTAAATATCTGTTCAGACACACAGCGGTTTATTTCACAGTGAATAAAAGGCTATTTTGTACTTGGAATAGGTTTGTGCATGGGCTGTTGAGTCCTCATTCTCACAGAGCTATAGGGACCACTTGTGCTGGAGTGGCTGTAATGTAGACAGCCCCGCAGTGGCAATCATGCAGGGGCTGCTTCTGGTGCTGATGTTGACACATAGAAGGTTCACTTCTGTCTTACTCCAACACAATGGAATGACAACAGCTGATGTCTTTCAGGTAGCTTAGGAAGGAAATCTTTTGGTATCTATAGCATTCTCTCAGGTAATACAATAGGCTTTTATCTTGAAGTGTCTTAATAAGAAGCTTTGCCTGCATTGTCAACAACCTTGCATTGTTTGAGTACTTAATCCTTTACTCTCCAAAAGCGGGAACTTTCAGTTAAAAGAGGATAACTGACCCAGTGTAAGAGGCAGGAGATCCTTCAGTTTTGCAAGTGCAGTGCTGACTACTAGAGTAAGACTGTAATCCATGGTAGCAGGAATTAAAAGGGAGCAACTCCCTTGTAGAGATTTCAGAGATCCTGTCCTCTTTCTCCTGCCTGCTGTACTTACATCACAGGAAAGTAAACACCATACCCTTCTTCCCTGTTTTGCCCAGCCCTGTCTTGCCCTGAAAGAAGCATGAATACATAACATTGAAGTTGATATGATGTTTAAAATTCTAAAGATACTTTATATTGATTTTTAGCTTGTACCTCTGCTACTCTTTCTGAATAATTGTTATGATGCGTAGAACTGGCTTTTGCTTTTCTCCAAAGCAATATGAGTAAAAAGGCAACAAGGTGTGAGAGAAGGGAAGAGAAATGAGGCTGCAATATGCATCTAGATTATTTCATTTTAGAATAGCTACAGACTTATTTATTTCTCTCCATTTTGAAGCCTAGAGTTCAAAAGTTAACCTAGTGTGCAGGATACTTAACACGGAAACTTCTATTGACTATTTTAGGAGAACAAAGCTCTGCAGTCACCTTTTGAACCTTGCAAGTTCCTGTACTTTAGGTTCCAATTCTCTCCTTTGTATACCTGGTACTTGTTATTTATAACATCAGGCAGAGATTTTCAGTAATTATTGTAATAAGATCATGCGATTTCTTTTGAAAGCAGGGTTCATAGATAATTTGACAGATTATTTAATAAATCATATGTTATTTCTCCAAACCTTAAAAAGTCCTGTTCAGAGGAGATTATTATCTTGTCAAAATTGTCGTAATCACAAAAGACATTGAAATACAATCATATCCACTTAAGAAGTATTCAGCCCACATCAGCTGAATTTTGAAGCCTAGAGCAGTGTTTTTCTTTTTATATATCTGAGCAATATTTTAATAGAGAGATCAGTATGCACACCAATTTTCATTGTTGAAAATCAGTGCTTATACAGAGCAAGTTTTCAGTTTGTGGTTACATTGACTTAGCTGGTACAGGCACCAGGTATTGCTTATACCACAAAAAGAACTCTGTGTGGTTATGCTACAGACGCTTTTATAGCATGTATTGCTGGAAATATGGAAGGGCATAGCAGTGTGACTACTTAACCTTGACTCAAGTGTTTTACATGACTGCAGTGATCCAGTGGAGGCAGATATAACAATTTCAGAGCCTTCAGTTTAAGGCATATCAGAGGATTTGTTGATGTAAAAGATGACATTTTACCTTTATGAAATGGAATCTTATATTTATATATTGTTATAATTTAATGATTAAACCACTGTGTTTTATCTCCAGTGGGTGGAAGGTTTTTTGAAAAAAGTTGGAGATTTGAGTTTGTTATATTGTTTTGTTCAGGATTTTTAATGATCATTGTCAAATTTGACCAGCAAATTGACTGTGGGGCAATACAAATTTCTTGCAGCACCTTCTTCTCTAATTTTTTTCCTACAATTGTGTCGCGTGCATTTATTAAACAGAAATAAAGATATAGGCCAGACTTTGTGCAGACTTAGTACTGAAATCACTATGAACACACCCTTTTATAAGCTTTATTTTGCCATAAAAAGGAATCATTAGGAGAGAAAATATGCTTTGAGCTAACTTCTGTAACTGTGTAAGTAAAGATCATCTAAAATCTTTAAAGAGGCAGCATTGACTGTCTTTTCTGTTTTCTTAGTAGTTACCTCTTAGCTTTCAAAGATCTGGGCTCTGTCAAGCACAGGTTAACCCATTTTTTCACAAGAATGTTCTCTCACTGCCACTGATAAAATGAACAGAAACTGCATAAAATTATCAAATCAAGGAACAGGATTTGGAGTTTTTTTTCCTTCAGCCTTTGCACTAACTCTCTTGTTCTGATTGCTTCATCTTGGGTTAGACAATGCTGCTATTCAGATATACTTAATCTTTTTTAGAAGCTTTTTTTAACTGATTGATGACATCAGAAGAATGATCTCTTGCTTTTTTAATTCTGGAAAAATCTTCTGCCACTTGTCATGGAAATCACTATCTCATAATTCCATCTCTTCTGTGAAGATATAGTGCGTCTTATTATGAGTCCAGTAAATTACCTAGATAAAAACTTTTTTTTTTTTTTTTTTTTTTTTTTTTTTTTTTTTTTTGTGAAGCAGAAGAAATTTTTATTTGGGAAGCAAGTAGTTGGGGTTTGCCTGCTTTACTGAGAAGTTTTTAATTTCTTTTTTTCCCCAGAGGGAAAAAATTTCCCTGCCATCCCAATTTATCATCTAGTATGTAATGTAAAGGCAGTTTTTATAGAACTAGCCAATATCTTTCTACTGGACGCATAATCGCTGTGGGATTACAGCTCGGTACTCACAAATAAATTACTTCAGCTTTCAGAACAAGAGAACACTCTTTTTTACTTCCATGTAGAAATAAGGAAAAATTCCTCTGAGAAAAATGAGTAAATATTAGGCTTTCTGTGCTCACAGTGAAGAGGGAACTTTTGTTCCATGACTTTTCCCTTATATACTTGTCAGAAAGGATATTGAGTTCTACCTTCTAAATCACACCTTTTTCTCCTAATTGTCTTTCTAGAATCTCATTTTCACTAATTTGTGTTTCATAAGTGTCAAAAAGTTTTTTGTGGTTTTTTTTTTTTTTTTTGAGCAGCTAAGACATTTAGGTTGTCATCTGCATGTCCTATACCCCATGAGGATTTGTATAAGGATTTCTCAAATCATTTTAGGCTATGTAGTAAAGACATTAAGGCTAGAATGATAATATATGAACTATGGCAAAATTCCAAAATTCCATTCATTAACTTCATTGTAGGACTATTGAACTCTAATTTCATTTCCCTGCCAATATGAGTCACAACAAGAGCATCACTACCTACCTGCAGGCAAATTTACTACCCTGTTTCAAACGTACCAAAGCCTGGGGAACTACTGATCACTATGTCTAAGGCGTCATTCAAATCATGCAGTCCTTAAGTGTTTCTGTCATGTAGATTGGTGATTGTATCATCCTCAGTTTTATACAAAGATCTGCTGCATTTGCTTCTCTTGAATAGACAGCTCAGTGTTTGTAAATTAAAATGTACGTGTATATTTTTACTGCAATAGGTCCCAGATCAGATCCTTGTTACATTAATCCCTGATCATGCATTATAAAGGCATTTAGAGCTTGGAGAGATACACAGTCCAAGTACGCAAATGTTTGATTTAGTGTAGGAGTTCTGCAATCCCTCAGTAAGCTGAACTTGCTGGAGGTTTGCTCCTCAGTAAATTTCCACTAGTACATCTATAGGGAACTTCCCTCAAAGAAGGCGAAGCAAAATCCCAAGAGTTTCTCAGACAGCATCCCTTTTGCAGCTTCAGCTCCAAGGACTCAGTGCCAGAAGGAGGTGCTTGTGCAGCAATTCCCAGAGGTCTTAAAAGGCTACGGAAACCTTTTGGCATATCTCCTGCTGAAGGGAACACAGCACTCAAATAATCTCAAATTAGCTGGAGAAAACTTTTTATGCATCTTACTCCTGAGCTGAGTCTTTTAAGTGGCCCATGATTAATTTCATTAGTTGCTAAAATAATCCATAATATTCCATTGCTCTAAGGAATAATTTTATGACAGCTGTGGTTGTTAGACTATGAACACAATACTCACTTGTGGGTTGCTGACATGTATAGGTATACTCACTATAAACAAACAAGTTTTTCTAAAATTATACATATTTTTTTAAATTTGGATGACTCTTACAGAAACAATTCCTATCCTTCATTAGTGTTAATGTCTTATTTTCAAGTTGTTACCAAGCCTGCATCCCTTCTTTACAGACCATCTTTTGTTGGCTTCAGTCTACAAGAGTAAAGTCCTTAAGACATTACCTTTGCATTTATGTTAAAAGGGAGAATTTCATTAGATACAAACAACTTAGATTCTCCCAAATAGGAAGACGCTAATCAGCATTAGGATACATTATGAAGATCATAACGGCATGTGTTGCTCAAAATCCTTTGAAATAAATACATGGGAAGGAAAATGCACCTTCACCCTTCCTGCTGTGTGGCAAAGCTCCGTAATCGCCCTGTCTCCAGGGGCAAGTGAGACTGTTCTCCCCTCCTCCTCCACTGGGTTTTCATCTGGTTGCAAAGTAAGCTTCTAAGTATGGCTTTTTGAGCTTTGCCTATGGTTTGACCAAAATACAATCTAATAACACTT